AACACAAACTTCTGAAAGTACTTTAAGTATTAAATTATTACAAACTTTTCAATAAATGATATGTGTTTTTAATTAAGAGTAATTTTATTTGAATGTGCTTTACTGGAGACATCCTGTTGGGATCTGGAGGTTTTGTCCACTTTCTCCACCAGAGGGCGCACAAGATCTCCTGGGGGCATGAGCTGACTGCAACACCTGTCTTCAATCTGCTCATCGGGAGGCTCCTTCTTAAGGAGGCGGAGACGGACACTCCAGTGCCAGAGTGTTTGCCAGTAATGGTTAGCAAAGCCTGAGCCAGCCTGCTTCTCTGAACCCTAGAATTTGTGAACCTGCCTGATCCAGTCTTTTTTCTGTCTCGCTGATATTCCTGCCTGACAATCTGAAAGCCTGGAAGAGAAGACTCCTTCTGGAGTCCACCTGTCTGCTCTCAGTGAAACCCTGGAGGGTTATTTCTGCCTTGAATCAGCCTGCCCGCTCGCAGAGAAAACTGAGAGGGAACTCAGTCCTACCTGCCCGCTCTCAGAGAAAACTGAGAGGGAACTCGGTCCTACCTGCCCGCTCTCAGAGAAAACTGAGAGGGAACTCAGTCTGGAATCCGTCCCAAACGTTTTAGTTTAAGTTATAAATAATGACCCATTGATTATTCCTTGCTGACCGGACTTTTCCTTTAAGATCTTAATGTCCAGAAATCATGACAGAATATTCTAGTACAAAGATTGATGTTTAAAAAAGGAATCTTAGGGGACCAGTCAAGGGCCAATCAAAGAAAGTGAGGAAATTTTGAATGGCTACTATTGTATAGCTTTATTCAACATAAAACATACAATATACTATATACAATTAAAAAGTATATAGCTACACTAAAAAATCTTATGCAACCGCTTTTGGCATTTACGTAAGCATATTTAGTTACTTGTCCTACCCTGCTAACATGAAACAATTGTGTAAAAGTAACTAAATATGATGAAGTTATTGCCAAAAACGGTTGCATTATATTTTTCAGAGTACAGTATATACTATATACACAGTGGGCTGTGCGTTAATGTAACACAGAAAGTCTGGAGATGCTACGTTGGTGTAGCTTCTAGGTCCTGAACAGGGGAGGGAGAAAGGCAGTGTCTGAAATAGTTTGTGGCTGGGGTTCGAAGGATCAGCCACAATTTTTGCCTCAGTCTTGGAGTTGTAAAGATCCTGGAGAGATGGAAGATTGTCTACTCTGCAGACCGGATGACACACTGCCTTCTGCCCTTGTCCTTGGCGGTGGCAGCAGCGTGATGGTGATGGAGAAGGTGAGGATGGACTCAATGATGGAGGAGTAGAAGTGCACCATCATTGTCCCTTGCAGGTTGAAGTTTTTAAGCTGCCGCAGGAAGTATATCCTCTCCTGGGCTTTCTTGGTGAGGGAGTTGATGTTCAGCTCCCACTTTAGGTCCTGTGAGATAAGTTCCCAGGAAGCGGAAGACACCACAGACGAATCTCAGAGGGTGATGGGGCTAGCCCGGGCTGAGTTCTTCCTGAAGTCCAACAACCATCTCCGATGTTTAGAGCGTTGAGCTCCAGGTTGTTTTCCCTGCACCAGGTCGCCAGATGGTCAACCTCCCACCAGACGGACTTGTCCCCAACAGGTGATGGTGGAATAACTATGGTTTAGTAGTTTTGTTTTTTCTCTTTACTTTCACTTCTCCTTAAACAATTTGAGGGCATTTGGTGTTGTTTAAGCAAAGTCTAGTTTTTTCATGATTATTAAAAACTGGGTTTCATATTCAAAAAGTTCCACAAAAAGAACTAGCTTTATTTTTTTTTTAATACAAATGTAATAGCAATAGTGAAGAACCTTAGGTGTACAGCTTTTATAGAGACATATAGAAATTCCAGTCATTGGTTTGGTCCTTTACAATAGCCACAATTTCTTATCTGGGGAAAAATAATTTCCCAACATTGGCTGTAGCTGTAAGAAGCCCCCCAAATGAAATTCTGCAAAAGAAATTAAAGCTATATTATGTTTTCAGAAAAAAGTTTAATGATATTTGTCCAAAATTACTCTATAAATTTATTGCACTGTAAAAATGCAGCTGAAAGAGGTCTGAAGAAGTTCAACTCTTTACTCCATCAACCTATTTAACAGCTTTTATGATAAAGCACCACTAGTGGGTTGATTGAAGCTCCACAGGGTTTAAACGTATGGTAATGTAGGAGGGGGAACATTTACATATAATGAACACAGTAGATCTTCTTTAGAAATCCTCATGAGGACATGCAGATAAAGAAGAAAAAGATCAAGGCAGAATTCCAGAATGAGAGTATGAGGATGAAGAAGTTAAAATAAGAGGCAGTAAACAGGGAGTGGAGGATAGTGGTGGAGGTAGTAATAATGAGAGAGAAAATTTATTGGAAGAGACAAAGGAGTAAGACAGAAGGAGGTAATGTTAATGTGCAGCCTGCAGGTTGTGCTCCCCTCTGCACCACTTGTGAGCACTCCTGGCTGTGGTGAGCACTCGCTCTTTTATATCAACCTCCTGCTGCTACTGTAAAAGGAGACATTGCACAAATATATATTTTTTTTTTTTTTTTTCTGCGCATGTGTATGCCTTTCTACAGACTCCCCCTCTGTCTGGAGGCTTGCAACAATATGTCATGCTGGCTTCTGATTTGCGTGGATAAAAGAAGTAATAATGATGAGCCCCATAATGAGAACTGTTAAGAATGCCATTCAAAGTGAGTTGCAATGTCTGTCAATCAAAGTAAGTTTTCTAGTCTTTGTACCAATTATGGCTTTTTTCATAAAGGCATCTTGAGTGTTAAATTAACACTGTGGTGACAGAAACACTACACATGCACCACACCCAACTCCCAAACCCTACTTCTGCTTAAATATGACCAGATGCTATGATGCTATTTCTTGCAGTCCACAGACTGTCAAAACTCGAATAGAAATACCTTTTGTTGTTCAACAATAGGAAAAGTCAGGTGTGACAGTGAAAAAATCAAAAAAGAAAGAAGAACGCTTTCAGCTATTTGGAAGACAAAATACAATGAAAAGATACATTAGAAGAAAACTGCATAATAGAAAAGCAAATAAAAAATGATACTCTGTAGCTATTAATAAAAGAAAGCATAGTAAGATGAAAATGAGAAATGCTCACATTAAAGTAAAAGAAAAGGTAAAAAAGAAAACAGCAGCTTTACAATAATAAGCTGTAATAAGTGTTTTGTAGGATAAAAAACTGGAAAAACAAGATTTTAGAAACATTGTCAAAGCAGGTTAACAAAAACTTATTGTACTAACCCTTGAACAAAATATTGTTTTTAAAAAATGTTTTAGAATTTTAAAAAAGAGGTTATCCTGTATTTGTAGTCATCCCAGGTGGATTTAAAACTTTGCAGGATTGCTATCCTTTGCTATATTTTTAGAAAATAAACATCCTGCTTATTTTCCAAATAACTCAAACTAAATCTGATTGGACAACATTAAACTAGACTACTTTTTGTCTGTTATTTATAGCTATGGATTGCCAGTAATATTTTTAATTATTGAAAGAATAATATATTATTATTATATTATATTTATTTTTTATTAACTTTTAATACATTTCATCAAATCTATATTTCTCTATATGATTCCTTAATACACTTTTTTGGAAGAATTTAACTGTCTGACTTGGGTCATATGTTTTTTCTCGTTTCTTTCTACAAGCTCTCACAAAGTTGTCTACGTTCTGGCAAATTCTTCGAAACAGAACTGCTTTAAGTAAGGGAAGCTTAAAGGATGTCCGGCAGTTTCAGTTCTCACAAATTTTCTAAGTGACTTAGAAAACTCTTTCGTATTAACTTTGCTGTCCTAAAGCAACTTTGCAATTGCTTCTTAGGCGTTATTGGGGTCATTGTTTATTTGAAAAATCTGTTAAGCTTACAGGCTGATGTCTTGAGCCGTAGGCGTATTTGCTACCTCTCTGCATTTTGCAGTTAAGTAAGTAAGCCTCCCTTTTGTTTATCTAAATGGAGAAATGGTCATTATAGTCAAAAACATCAACTTAAGATTTTTATGAGGTCAAAGGACATGTCTCCGAAACCTTAGGTCATAAACTGTAAGCTTGATTAATCTATTTTTAAGTAATAGCTTCTTCCTCTCTGAATGACCTTTCATCGCTTTTCAATACAGGACTTGGTTTACAGAGATGAGGATTTTCTTATCAACTTCAGTCAACAATAGCTTATCTGTTTCCATTGTTTTATCATATTACAAAAGGGCACATGACATACTGTATTTATTGGGTTTTCTAATCAAGTTGTTTTTTTGTTGTTGTTTGGTTTTTGTATGTATCATGTTGGGCAGTGTAGCACTTAGGATTGTTCTTAGTACCAAGGAGACACAAACTAACAGAAAAAGTATGAACAGACAACAAATACATAACATTACTGAAAAAAGTTTAATACAAGATATATCTAGTGCTAGCCACACCTTACTATACAGTAGCTACATATATTTGAAGAACACCTTGATCCAAACAGCTGTTAGTGCTCGTGTGAGCAAGCTTATGTAAACCCCCCCCCCCCCCCCCCCCCCCCCCCCCCACCCCCGCCAAAAATATTTAAAAGCATAGCGATTCAATAGGGTATCCAAATATACATATACATACCAAGTATACATTTTTGGGAAATATGCTAACCGTCTTAAAGGACTAAGAGTTTGGTCTTCTTTGCAAACTTTGGAGGCAAAGGTATCCTTTTTCAGTAGTTCTAAATGTATTTGAGTAATATTTTATATTCATATCTTAATTTTTGAGAGTAAAAAATCATATTGTACCCTTTAAAAGCTTTTTTTAAAATTAAATATTGAACATTTAAGGCGGTGGTTGTAAAGTAAAATATATAGAAAGTTTAATAGGGATGAAAGTACTGCAGGTGAGTGCCAGGAAGCAGTGTGATTTTATTCGGTCAATACAGATCCAAAATGGCTATCAGTGTTATTTATTAGAGAAAAAAATGAATTAATTCAATTATTTATTTAGAAGAAAATTTATTTATTGATTAAAAAAAAATCCCACATAACTGAATATGCACATTTATTGGTGTGTACATTTCAACCACTTTCAAACCCAAACTACATCACACAAACTAAACAGTATATTGGACTTTTATTTATAATATACATTCAGCCATGTTTTATACTATTGCTGATAACCTAATAACCCATTTCAATACAAAAAGGAAGCTAAACGTATCATTGACCCAAATTGAAGTTTAGCCGTGGCTTGACCCATTCACTGCTCCCTGCAAAGCCATCAGAGAGCCAATACCACACCTCACTGCCCTCTGTCAATACAGCTGGTGTGACCTTATTGGCTGGGGTAGACGGGGGGAGCTGATTCACTGCATCAAGCGCCTCCCCCCCTCTCCCCTGTGCTCTCATTAGATCTACTCTATTAAACTCCTTATGCATCTGTCTGTAGACTGTATTGTGGAAACAAATGTAAATCCCTTCAGGTGGTTGCCGTGTTCCAGTAAGACCGAAGAACTAATGGAAAGAGCTGACATGCATTTTTTGAGGTGGATAAATACATCTGGAGATGTTTTTTTTTTTTTTTTTTTTTTTTTTTTTTTTTTTTTCTAGAGCAAAAAAAAAATCACTTGTGCACCTAGCATGCACTATCAGGAAGACACAAGTTCATTCAAATAGAAAGTCATAAATATAGATATACAGTAATGCAATAGTATTAGGTGAATAATTTAACACTTTAGGCTCCTGGAAGGCAACTACATAATAGGATCAATCAGGGTGTCCATCTCTGACAGTTTACAGTGCAAGCATAGGTTAAAACGCAACCACCTCATCAAAAACCTCAACCTTTTTCAAAACTCATGCCTGAAAAACATAAAATTATTACATTACAGAGAAAATTTCAAAGCTTGCTGAAAATTGCATTAAAACAAGCTAAAAGGTTCAGGCTCCCTGAAATATATGCATATTTTAAATACAATTCTTTATAGAAATATATGCATTAAGTTTAAGTCATTCCCTGGGAAAGCTTAGGATCTGCCTCCAATCCTATATATGTTATTTTTGGCTTGTTTTTCTCAGTGCGGCATGACCTTTGGGTCTCCAATTCAAGAAAACGCTCAAGACCTTCAGGCCAAAAAATAATTGTAGTTTGATTAAACTCTTCGTCCCATTTGGGGAGTTAAAAAATTGGAAATTTTCACTATTATTGTACAGAAATAATTAACCAATGACAAGGTCTGACAAAGAAAATTCTTACTTATTTTTCATTTATCCTAAATTCTTAAAAATAAACAGTCTAATGATATAACTGCAAGGGCACATTTCATTGAAATGTGGAAGTTTTGTTTTCAAACATAACTATTTTTATTTAATTTTTAATTTAATAATTTCTAAAAAACTAAGAAAGTTCATATAAAGCAGCCCAAACTTAAGCAACTCACCCAAAGCTATTTGTTCCAACCTAACTCATTGAAAAAAAAGCTCAGATTTGGCAACAGTGTTATTAACATTGATGCTAAATCTACCCCCACAAGAAATATAATCAGCTCTTTTGCATCTGTCCCAATGTAACAATTGTACCAATATGGAATTTGATTGTTGCCCTGCGATGGACTGGCGACCTGTCCAGCGTGCAGCCCGCATCTAGCCCATAGACGGCTGGAGATAGGCACCAGCACCCCTAGCAACCCCGTAGGGATAGGCATGACAGAAAATGGATGGATGAATGGAATTTGATCCCTAGAAAGCAGCATTTTATCTGAGAAAGAAGCTGGTGTTTATCCTTACCATCACATTTTTGTATAGATTTAAGAAATGTACAATGTGATAACTGCTAAAATGAAAATTTCAAACTAGAGATTTACTATCAAGTTCTTCTTCAAGACATTTTTAGAACACATTCTGTTGACATAAAACCTCTTCTGAATATCTTATGTATGGAAGTGCCAAAGTCCAATAAATTAATCCGTTTTACTATTTTGACTCAGTCCTTGTCTTGTCACAGAATTGTTGCCCAGACTGGTGGTCAGTGGGTGGGGGCAGGATACATCCTGGGCAGATTGTGATTCCTCATCAAGGCACAAAATCTAAGCACCTATATGTAAGAGCAGCCACTGAACCGCAGCCTGATATATTTGGAAATAAGGAGAAGGAAATCATGCAACCTCTAAGCAGAAATGACCCATCTGGGATTCAAACACCATTTGAAAGGACATATTTCAAAGGTAAAAACCAACAACTAAATGTCAATTGTATATTAAATTTGGTTAAACAGACATATTTTAAGTTTTTACTGAAAATTATACTTTAAATAGACTGACACCTCAGTAGTTCAGCACAGATGCATCTATAAGGCTGTAGCTTATTCTCCCTAAATGTAATTTGGGTCGGAAGGTCCTGAGCTATTTCTGCGAATGCGATGTTAAGCTCATCCATGGGTCCAACCTAGCAAACAATCAAAGAGCTATACTGAAGATGGATTTTGTGGAGACTCGATAGCGACCTGCATCCAACTCCGACACCAGTGGCAACTCTACATATGGTGAGAAAAGTAAAAAAATAAATCCTTGTCAAGTATGAGCACGAGGCACGAGAATTTACAGAAGGGTGCTGCAGTTCTATATTTTGGCCACAGGTGGCAGTATCATTAGAAAACTCTGTAATGCCTCTTAAAACAAAATAGATTAGAGATCAATTTAAGGTTTTTAGAGAGACAATGGATGGATGGATCAAATTAAATAATTAGATTTTATGCTAAAATAAAATAAAGTATCTTTCATTAGTTACTATCTGTACATATCTGACCTTTAAATATTTAATATTTTATAGGCATTTATTGGAATATGGCACTTCTTGCTTTGCATATTTACGTAACTATACCTCCAATGTTTTGACAAACAGCATCCACTAACCCTTGCTGCTTTTGATCCTAAGTTAGAATGTTTTTCTAGTGTTGTCATTGTGCAAAGGGGGGTCACTCTGGGGTTGAGTTAAGGCGACAAGGACTGTGAGGCATGGAGGAGGCTGACGTTCCAGACATGTCCACCGTCGTCACTCCCATCCTCTTCAGGGAACGTTCGTCTGTCACAGAGATGGAACGGGAGATAGTGGGATGGGTATGACCCTGTGGGCCTAAGAACGATGGACAGATGTTTACTTGACATTTCAACAAAACAGGGCCACTACATGTTCTACTTATGAGGCAAACTAAAACTGGATGGGAAACTAATAAATTGGATAACAAGAGTGGAGTAAATTAAAAGAAAAAGAGAAACATTTTCCCCATATTTGAGTTTTTAATGAATAAAATATTCTGAAGATCTGTGCCATACACTCCAGCTCCCATTAGTTTAATCCCCTATTGGTATTCAGCTCATGCACTCAGCTTCTTATTAGATTCTGTCTAGTAAATGACATCCATTTACTTTTATTACGGCAGATGAATGAAATGAAACCTACAGTATTTTTTTTTTTGTGTTCGCTGTCTGAATGCTGTGTAGCAGCTTTTGGCCTGTAGGGGCCCATGGCAGAGCAGAGAGCTGCAGCAGGTTGAGCAATGACTGCAGATTGGTTGCAGCTTGATGTCTCTCATCATCACGCGCAGAGGGGGGAGAGAGTGAGCAGGCACAAGATGGTTCTGTTCATATTGAGAATTCTACCTTTGATTTTTTTTGCACATGCTCCTGAGGTTCAAGAGACAAACCAGCAGGGGGCAGGGTGACCACACATACACACTTATGCACATGCACGTACACACCCTGATTTCTCCTTTATGCCTGTACACATACCCCCTCTAGGTCTGACATTTACAGCTAAGTGCTGCAACGGCTGGTTATTTATGTTGAGAGGGATCATGATGAGGGGAGTGCAGCAGGTGGCTGCATTACACTGTTTATCAGAGCGACGCAGTGGCAATATCACTTCATGAACTGTTCGAAACCTAACTCACAAGAATACACACTCATACATACACACACACATGCTGCATCTGTCTTTCTGCCTCCCCCCTTTTCACACAATCCCTTTTTGCTGCTCCGTGTTTTATGAAATGCCTCCCAACTGCTCTTCTCTTTGCTCCTTTTTCTCACAGATGTACACTCACCATCTGGACACTTGCAAGGAACAGCAATGACACTAACCTGCTCTCATCATGCATGTCAGCGTAAGATGTCTAATAATTCATACTATTGCAGAGTTTCTTGTTCTGAACACTGACATACTGATAAAAATGACATGAAAGCATCTAGATATCACCGAACTACATGAAAGACATTGTTCTATAAGCCTATCTTCCCCTCCCTTTGAATATATAATAATTGCTAAAAGCCCAAATTCACTTTTCACAGCTACTGTTTTTTTCATCTGCTCTTCTTTGGAATCCCTTTTTTCACCTCCCTTCACTGCTCTTATATGCAGCTAGACAATCTCTCTATCAGTCCTCTGAGGTATTTCAGTAGAGTGCAGGTCGGGTGCAGCAACGTCACCTGAGTTGTTCTCGTTCGATTTGACTTTGGTGTTGGTCTTCTCTTGCATTGCCTTCTCGTATTCCCTCACCTCTTCCAAGCTAAGCCCTGCAGGGAGAGAAAATGTATACAATGTTAACAGAGTGCAAAACACACATCTGATTTCACTGCAGCACATATGGTTCTGAATATAGTTCTGCACCAAAGCATATATTCGCTTCACATATTTTAACATGTTTTATCATGGTACAGCCACATTTTTTATGCATTTATTAGGATTTTGTTTAGCACAAACAGGTGTATAACCGATGTATAAAGAAGTGGATAATTAGTATCAAAACATGTTTTATTAACTAAACATTTAAATTAATGGCTTTTCCAAGCAGTTCAGGCTTCTGCTCAGGTTATCTCCATGTTGTGGCCCTCCAAGCAGGAGCTAGAACGTCCTTGGTGAGGACTGTACAGTTCTTTTCCCTCTGGGCTGATGGAAAATGAATGCTGCACATCGCTGAGACCAGACTACAGTATCCTACCTTTAAGTCGTTACAGAGAAGCTCGACAAAGTTTATATTAGGGAGGATGAAGCATTAAAGGATTTAGATGAATGGGGACTCAACCCTGCAAGTTGCCTATTCAAAGTCGGAGCCTATACCTAATTGTAAAGGTAAGGCCTGGAATAAAAGGGTTTAACCTAAATGCATGCTACACTGTTAACATTTTTATTAGGACATGATATTTTTTTTCTTCCACTTCAATATTGTACTTTTATAACCTATAATCTTTTTTCTGTTGTAAACACCAGAATTTCGCCCTTCTGGGACAATAAAGGGACTTTCTATTCTATTCTATTCTATTCTATTCTATTCTATTCTATTCTATTCTATTCTATTCTATTCTATTATTATACTTGGTATTTGTCCACTTAAAAAATTCCAGTGAAATATGTTAAGGTTTGTGGTGGGAACAAGACAAAATGTGTAAAAGGTCAGTGTATTTTAATGCAAGGCTCTGCGATAGGGTTAAAGGGACTTTTACACAGAGTAACGTTAAAGTTCTGCTTGGGCATATGTGTCAAACTTAAGGCCTGTGGGCCTAACCAGGCTCTCCAATGCAATTTAACTGGCCCTCAAGAGCCAAAAAATGCCTATCATGTTATAAAATACTTTCGAGGCTAATGCTCTTTTAAAGTGTTCAAAGTGGCATAAAATGCTTAGTACATGGGAGGAAAGGTGTAATACCAGAGCAGTGTGTGTTAATTCATACATTTTATTTTATAAATATTTTCAATTCCTTTATAAACCTGCAACCGGTGATTTTGACACATATGCCGTTGGAGATTCTTGCAATATAAAAGAAATTAGTGTTTAACCAACCGTGCCACTCGTCAACCCATGCAACTGCCTGTCTGTGGCCGACGAGAAGAATATCTTTAATCAGCTGAAATTACAAATTAAACCAGTTAATATCAAAAACAAACGGACAAATATTAATTAGCTTTGAATACTGCTAGTATTTTGCTTGTCACATATGAAATACTGTTAGATTTGTTGTGCAACACATTACTGTCACAGTCACAATATCTTTTTATTTAATTCATCTGAGAAAATTACATCTGTTGGAACTTGGATCAATAGTACAACCTGAAACAGTCATGAACACGAAACAAATAGAGCTTTAGTTTATGCTTCATTGCTTTGCCTTATTGCAAAGCAGGACTGAAAAAGCAGAGTTAGCTTGACTGAAATGCATGAGACGCAGTGCAGAGATCATTTGAGACTGCCCGCCCTTGTGGTGCCTGTAATTAAGCTAATGTCTAGAAATTAATGTGGTGATGATTTATTTGTGTCAACATGTCACAATAGGCAAACTTGGATGATAAAATCCAATCAGCACCAAATGAAGATTGCCAGTGTTTTTGCATCGCTAGTGGGCAGAAATAAATCCGCCTTACTCTATGTACAAACTCCTCTGTCTTTGTCTGGAAGCCGTAGACCTCAAAGCTGCACTGCACTCTCTTGTAGGAGCACATAATGGGGTTCTGGTTGTCCCTCCAGCCTTTTTGCAGAGGCCCTCTGTTGGTTTTATTTGACCGCCAGCGACTCAGATCCTGTGCAGAGCAAAACATATTGAAATTACAAGCTGAATCTGCACAGACCTTGCTACCCGGTATTTTCAGTAGCAAGATGTGCGTGGATGTGTTTAAAAGCTTTTGCATGTGTGAGGATGACTGATATTTGTGTGGAAGTGTAAGCAGGTTGTTGCTCAACACACCCCTGAGGAAGGAAAAGTGATACCACATATTACACACCTGCGACCAGAGGATGTTGTGTTTTTTTGTTTTCACAATGTCATTTAATGTAACCCACTGGTGTTCTGAAGACATTATTTTGGTTTTCTGTTGTTGTACGTGTTTGCATGCATTTGTGCTGGAAGCTTTTTCTGCATGCTTGTTTGCACACAAGCCTGTGAATTCACCTTTGTTGCTAAGGGCTTGCAGGCACTAAAGAGGTGTGAAATCTCGGATGAGACGGAATAAAGAAAGGCAGTGAGGCTGAGTTGTGTGAGGGTATTGCTGGGATATTTTTAGGAAAAAATAACCTAAAGCCAGTGACATTTTTGTTCATTTAGGTTTAATAGATTATTATTTTTGTTTCGTCAGTAAAGCTTTTTGAGCCTTAGGAAAATGTTTTACATACATGTGGAGAGAAGCAAATCTTATACTGCGTGCTGAAGACGAGAATTTTATTTTGCTATTTAAAAGCCATTATAGCACTACAAAAGCCATAAAAGTATTAATACCCAATGAACCTAACTTGGATTTGTCACCTGAAAACCTTAAACTTCAATTTATTTAAATGTGATTTAATGACATTGTTGGACATCACATCCATGAAATGAATATGAATATGGATGGATTATTGAAGATGGGTTGGATGAGGACTTATTACCAGTTGGTATCCTCCAGTACTCTGCCAGAGGAGGAGCTACCCTGAACATTCTCAGAAGCCCCTGTGGATCCTCCCTACAAAACACTTGTTCTCCTATACAAAGTTGTCTTTCCTGCGGATAGCGCCAGAGGAGGCCATGTGGGGGGGCCGCCTCAATATCTGTCCCTGCTGGCAAGGGACCACATTCTTCAAACTCTGATCAAAGGTTGAGTGGGCCTCAAATCATCGAGATCCAGATAGCACAGACAGAGCTTTCTGCATTTCTCTCTTTCTCAGATTTTTTTTTTTACAGGGTCGAGCAAAGACTGAATGAAAGCAGCTTCTTTTACACGTTGCAGAGCTAAGAACCATCTAGAAAGCTACATTTTTCTTCTATGTGTACGGTGGCTATTTAGTGTAGTCAAGTTTCAGTAGTTTAGTTAAGAGTTCTTAAATAAAATATGTTTTAAAGGAGCTGAAATATCTTTTTAATAAAATCTTATATTTTAAATGTATGGTTTTGTGAATTTATTCCATATAGACTAAATTGTTTGACCACAAGTTAATCTTGAATCACCTATTCATCATTTTTCCTAGCACACAGCCACATAGGCATGTGTTCAAAGAACAACATATGATGGTACAAAAGTTGAATAAATAAATACTAAAAAGACTAAATGCATAAAAAAAAAATTCCAACGATGATATGGCACCACAAATATGTAAGAGTAGTGTGTAGGAAGAAAATAATTAAACCATTTTAAAAAGATTAGTTACAATTTTTTAACTTAGAGGAACACCCTTTTTGTCCATATTTGTAAAGTAGCTCATGCTGATTAGATGGAGAAATTGTATTAAAGTATTGATAAACTGTAGATTCTCAGTTGGATATAGATCTGTTTTCTTGTCTAAGCTGCTCTAATGCATGAATATGCCAAGACTAAATCATTTGTAGTTCTGATAAACCGCTATATATTATGGTTCTGCTGGACACTGACCCTTCGGTCCAGTCTCAAGCCTTTCAACATATTCTCATTATGAGTGCGTATGAAATCGTACGAAAAGTTATGCACACTATTTCGTACGTTTTTGGACGTTTTTCATCAAAAAACCACATCAGTGCGCATGCGCTGGCAGACAGAAAAAAAAAGATCCGCGGACGGACGTAAAAATGGGAAAAACAGTGCAATCATCACTTATTCATGTCTGTAACTACATTGCTTGCTGTTTTATTTCTTAGGGTCAGGGTTAGGGCTAATTGTAATTTAAATTCTATATTCGTGAATGGTGCGTCAGATGCGCATGCGCATACGACGAAAAAAACGTCCAAAACGTACGAAATTACGGTGCATAACTTTTCGTACGATTTCACACGCACTCATAATGAGAATAGGTTGAGCCTTTTGTACCCTCTAAATGGTTTTCTTTAATGTCATAATGAAAGAATGACATTAAACCACCATCTTAAAGATGGGATGGTTAAAAAATAAATGATGAGACCACTACCAACCTTCAGTGCTTGAATGGTGTGATCATGTTTTTTTCATGTATTCTATATGAATGTAAAATGTCTATCTCATCTAATCAGATCACCTTGTTTTATATGTGTATTCCTACTTTGTCAGCTGTATGAGTTTTTAAAAAATGCAGTGGGAGTTCTAGTTTCAAATAGACATTATTTGTCTTGCAGCCTAGAGCAGCACTCCAGTGGGGTGAAATTTCAGTTTCGGTAAAGCCCATCCAAACATGGAGGGACGGTGTCAGAGGACTTATTGCAGTTGAAGGGCCCAGCCCTTGCTCAATAAACATGATGACTTTCCTCTTGCTAAAAGGCCATATTGTTGTGTGTAGAACTAGTTGTTTTGGCAAGAGATTTACTCTTCTGAGCTCTGGATCTCTGCAGCTCTGCCAGAATTACCATGGACCTCTCGGCTACTGCACTGCACACTGCTCTCCTTCCCTGGGCTGTCAGATTAGTGGATGTCTATGTCTTGTCAGATCAACAGGTATGCTATACTCTTACTTTTGAGAATGGATTAAACGGTGAGTTATGAGATTTTCAAAGCTTCACCACAACTTTATCCTTGATGGGCCAGTTTTGGGTTCTGCAGGCTAACAACGACCTCAACGACTCCCCATTACTATGGGGTGGACCGTTTTTTTTTTTGGTTCAATTTGCATTTTTTCTATGCTATAACAAGGCTTTTATTGGGCTACTCTATAAGCATGGAAGTCAATGCTACTCCAGGCATTTTGAATCGAGAAAGCTTTCTGGATGGGAAGCGAAACGTCTTTAAACTTGGAAAGCAAAGTCCAATGGTTTGTTTTTTAACTTTTTTGGAATGTGTTCTTTGGTTTTCATAATGCTGTACAACTAAAATTCTTTAAATCAACATCTGTTGACTTTACAGAGCAGCTCTTATTGTTATTAAGAAGACCAAATTAAAAAAAAAGTTAGCTTCCTTATCAGTATAAAGGAGCCCAAGTAGACCACACTTTTAAGATGTTTACATCAACAAAAATGTAGACAATGTGCCCAACTTTGTATTTGCTTATCACATTCAACCCCAAAACATACACTGGGCATTGTTGATGTGAAATCATAAATATGCTAAAGTGAAATGATAATGAATCCATTTCCAAGAATGTAATAGTAACAGCTTTAAAACATCTTATAAAATTACAACATCCTTCGTTCAGTTTGATAGTATGTGTTTGGGTATTAGGCATTGAAAATGCAGGTGCAAGTATTATTCACTGTCTGCAAATTTCTTTTTTCTATTTAATTTTTTGCATTACACACCTCTGATTCTCTGTAATGCTTCTCTGGGATTGGGTCAGTGAGGATGTCCAGGAAGCAAACGTTCTCCGCCGGGGTTGGCGTGTCCCCAAACACCTACATCCAAAAAGATGGGAGGAGGTCACACAGTGTAATGACTGCAGATGCACGAACACGCACACACTTTTACAACATAAACACATGCATTACTCACTCAGCAAAGGAGAGGGGATAAGAGTAGATAAGTAACTGTGTAGAAAAAACGGAGGTCACACACCATAACACCCCTCACTACTGTATATCCCACCCCGAGGGCCTTGGAGGAAATCACACTGGTGCAAACAGATGAGAGAACAGATAGAGAGGAAAAAAGCACAGAAGGGGATAAGGGAAAACAAGAAGCTGGATGTTGGATGATAAAGGCACAGAATCAGAGGTGTTATGAAAGCAGAATACAGTTAGTCTTTATAAAGTGTAGAAAAAACTTGGATGAGGAGCAAGAGGAACCTGCACTTTTCCCTGACCTTGTGTAATATTTCTTAGAATGCTTCACTGACATTGTTTATTTCATAAAACTAACAAGTAGTAAAACAAGAACTAACAATCTGCTGCACTCCTGTTACTCTGTTGTACTTATGTGTCTACTCAAGGTCTTCCTGATTTTCGTGCAATATGTTGCACAAGCCGGAGAGATTCAGTTCTCTTGTTTGGTCTGTTCTTGTTACAAAACTCTGAATCTCCTCAATATTTTTTCTCTATTTTCTTATTTGTGTACATACAGTATTCCTCACAGAGAGATTTCTTTGTTGATATGAAATGGATACTTGTCAATGAAGTTTAAAAAAAGAGATTTTAAAGCCATTATTTTCAAATGGTAATGTTTGCATAACAGGAGATCAATCTTTAGTGAAATGTTGTAGTTTTGGCAGCAAATATTATAGAGTGACGCAGAGGTGCCAATGAATAGTAGATTATCCTGTAGAATTTTTTTAAAGTTTTAACTGTTTTATAAACTTATTGTAATTCAGTAATTATTTCTCGAATATTTAGCTACAATGTAGACTTTGAAATAAAACCTCTACCGAGTTCATGTATCTTAACCTTTGCACAGCACTGTCAGAAAACATGTTACTAGGATAGGGAACAGAATAATTATTACGTGGAAGGAACTGGATACACAGTTTGAAAATGCTTTTACAATCAGAATTGTAGAAAATTTGAGGAGTGCACATCTGTAAACGCATCGGACATCTAAACTGAAAGAGTGTTGCAGAAGAAAATCAATTGAAGAAATAACTGAATATGATATTTTGGAGGAAATGCTTGGATCATGTGAGTAAACCTGTGGGAAGGACTGCTGTGCAGAAGCTTTTCTCAGATGATGGTTAGAGGAATGCATACCACAAACTGAAGCATGGAAACACTTTATAATAAAATATTCCCCTTTTCCAGTAGATATCACATGATTGTTTGTATTTAAACCTCCAAAAAAAGCAGAATTTTATGTGTGACTGGGCAAGGTTTGGTGAGCAGTTATTTTCTTATTAATTTCCTGGAAAATAGCATAACACAATGACATGTCTCTTGTCTTGCTGATATTTAAAAGTGACACTTTGAGAGAGATTTCTGTCTCACTGCAAATTTACACCTATACCTCCATGGGGAAAGAAAGTCATAAGTAAATAATTAAAAGTTAATTTCCAATACCTTATAAAGGTCGCATAAATCTTAGTTTGAAGGTATTTCCCAGAGCACTAGCAATAGTGACACCATATAGTTTAAAGAATAGAATTATTTTGCAGCACAGGAATTCTTTCCCACATCCCACAAAGCTTTTCCATTCTACGGTATGTTTCTACATGCATCATTGTGAGAAGGCTGAAGGATAAGAGCAGTTTTTCTTATTTTTAAGATTTTTATAAAGCTTACCCTTTAACTTTTAAATAAGAATCACGATGTTCCTCAACGATAAGCAGAAGCACCTAAGTGACAGACTGGGTCTTGTTTTTTTTCACTTCCATCAATTACTCAGAACAGAAACAAAGGGCAAAGCAAAGCTGCAATTGCTTGTGAGTTTCTGTCCGAGTGTGTTGATGCGCATTGGCCACGGACGAAATGCAGCATGGCAGCCATGATCAGCACACAGCACGTCTGGTTAATAGATCTGCCAATAGTGCATTTTGTGCTTTGCTTGTTTTCCTTGTAATGGCCACATCAATTTGATGAACGTTTTCGTGGCACTGCAGAGAAAATTGCAATTCCTCTCATTCCCCTTTAGTCTCTCTCTCTTCCTTCTCGTTTGTGATCACTCCATCTTTCTTGTTTCCCCCCTGTTAGGCCTGTACTCACATTGTTGTTATTGCCGTTGTTGTTTTCGAACCTTGTCTCAATGCGAATGCTAAACTTGGGGACGAACGATACCTATGTGAGGAAAACATGACAAAATATGTAGTTAGCAAAGGAAGGAGCTGATTATATCCTCTGATCTTTAAATAAGTAATGTGTTCATGGTAAGTAGATGTGTAAGAATACTTACAGAGTATTCTGCAACATCAGCGGCATTAAATATAGATAGAAAGAAATAGTATTAATTACTCAAATGCATGAGGAGAAAAAAAGCAGACCAGTTAATTAGAACATCAGTGAGAAATTAAAAAGTCATTATATATTGATGATAATGGCATACATCCAATAAAAACACCAAATTAAGTTGAACAGGAAAGTGAATAACATAGAACTAATAAAAAAAACACCAAACAATTTCTAACAAATAACTGTCTGTTCACTTAAAAACGTCTGCATTGTCCAGTGCTCAAAATTCAGTAAGGGTGGCTTGATTAATTGCATTAATTTTGTTTACTGCGTAGCATGAAGAATATCAGCCTGCACCTCTGCTGAGGTGTTACCGTTAATTTTCACTGAGTGTGGAAGCAGTGCAGCAGTGCTGCAGTGCAGCTGCATTTTCTGCCAGGCACCCTACTCCACTGGGAGCATTTGATGGTACAATAGAACCCTCCTGCTATAAAAGTGTACATATAGGCTTTAAAAAAATACAATAATTCAGTAAAATGGCTATTTGGCCAGTACTAATAATGTGTTGTATACCTGCCCTATATCCGTAACCTTAGCCTTTTTGGGGGGGCTATCATAAGAAGATGAGTTCAAATAGTTTTTTTTCAGTTTGTATTTTTTTTAAATGCTCATATTTAACATGGCTGCTGATTGACTGTAAAAACAAACTTAGTTTTTACCTAAAAGTCTACAAAATGTGTTCCACAGTGTGGACTGGTAGTCTCTGAGTTGTAAACTTGACTAGATCCACTTTGCTTTTCATTCATTAATATTCTGCCTGAATGATCTGCTCTGCTCTACATTGATGTGGCGTTCGTATGGCGGTTGGGAAAAATACAACAGCCATGTAATTTGGCGAAGCAGCAAGTAGTCTGACTGACTACAGTAGCTGCAAACGGCTGCAAAGGCCAATATGCACTGCTTTCCTCACCCAGTGGAACCAAAGGGTGAAGGAAGCCAGGGTGGGTTTAACAGCAGCCCTCAGGATTTTTAATTGTTTTGAAGTACCAATGCCCCCTGGAAAATAAAACCAGTGCGTCCATACGGCGTGTCAGGAGAGGTCAAATATTAGGAACTGTAAAAATTCCTGATAGACAACACCTGCAAATGACAGAACTCCCAAGTAATTACTAATTGTGGAAACTCCCCACTGAACCTGAGGGGATTAAAACCTCTACACCCTTTCTCTAGTTTTTCTTTTGCCCTTCTCTAGGGTTTGGAAGTGGCTTAACACCAGTAACTCAACAGTTGTAGCTCCTAGTCTGAGTGTAGTGGCCCTTGAAGCCCTGACTACAGACACAGCCCATCCCACATGAACCTCCTAAGATTGAATGGGCTTGAATTCAGTCCTCTAAACACCATTGTCCTTCCACAGAACTTGGCAAAATATGGTGAGATGCAGCCCTCTGATCAGCTACCGTAGCTTCTTTGACCTTTTGTGGTCTACCCTTCTTGAGGAGCATACCATTCAGTCTGTAGGACAGCTTTTAAGTTTAAAGTTGAACTACCCAAAACCCAACATCCGTCTGTCCGTATCTATCTATAATTGATGAGTAAGGGATACCCACCTGTGATAGTATAGGGGTAGAAGTTCCATGCCTTTTCTGTCACATAAAAGATTCGTGGAACAAAAGCTTTAACCCAGGATGGCAGTTTGCTGAAATCACAATGAAAGGAAAGAATCACAACCTCAGAGTGAGTTAAGGTTCGGAAGAGCAAGAGGGAGATTAAAGATGGAGACAAAGAAAGCTTAAGTGTTTTATTGAGCCATTTAGAGCTAGATTACCTGCAGGCTACTTCCTCCATATTATTCATTGTATGACTCATTCTCAATTATACCTGTGGTGATGAATTGCTTCAAAGTCACATCTTTTGTTCATTGTAAAGTCACTGTACCTGTGTGCATGTGTGTACTTCTATGTGTATTCAGCGAGGAAGACCCAACACTCACACATAGATTAAAAAGTCCTCCAGAGTGATAGTGTTCCTTTACTTTTTTAAGAGTTTAGTTAAGGATTAAAACTTAGGTTTGTAGTGGTGATTAAATATTGCTTGAGGTTGCACTATAGGGTTAATAGAGTAAGGTTAAGATAATTCTTAAACAGTTCATTTCCAATGACAAAAGTCACTATTCCTACACATTTTTTCATTATGAAACTCACAAGTTTTAAGATATCAATTGTATTTCTTCCAATCGTTTCTATATTGTAAACAAGATTTTGCTGGCAAGTCAAAGCCAAATTGAAATAGAATGTAGGCTGGTACCTGGTGGTTATGGAATGGTGAAAAAACTCACCTTTCTTTTCATAAAAAAACCCAACTTTCTTTTGTCATACTTATCCAGATTAAGAAAATCTAATTGCATGCAATTTCAGGATTTTTTTCAAGCCCTCTAAGTGCTTAATTAGTAAGTGTTAATCTGTTTCCTCCAAAAAAGTAGTACCTTTATTTGTGTCATCCCAGCACCAGCTTTAATGACCTTGAGGAAAAAGCTGGTGACATGCAAATGAAGGCAGCCATTTGCAATACCTAAAATGTAAAAGTTAAATTTACTTTTACCTTCTAAGTTCAATTGTTCCACTACAAAAGAGTAGTTCTCAGATAATTTTATACATTTAAAACTCACAGCTTAAAATAAAATCTGACAAAAATCTCTAATCTCCGACATAAACATTATCGTTTGCGAACCGGTTAACGGGAAGATAGCAAAAATGATAAACTAATATCATTTGAGCGGATTGAGCAGCAAATAATTTTTAATTAGTTTATACATAGGGCTGGTCACCTGTTGGTCGAAGCAGCATGACAGTCTGTCATCTTGAAAGTACAGACACTGGCTAGGGATTAAAAAAAAGTACTAACTTGCAGAATAACATGTTTCCCCTTGCTGTAAGTTCAGTGTAATTGAGAGGCGGTGCTGAAGAACATTTGGAGACACAAGCCCTGCAACTAAAAGTCAGAGATGGCAAAAGTACTCACTTTCCGTACTTGAGTAAAAGTACAGATACTTGTGTTAAAAAATACTCTGGTAAAAGTGGAAGTACTGATTAAACTTCTTTACTCAAGTAAAAGTAACAAAGTACAGGCTTGTAAATTTACTTAAAGTATAAAAGTAAAAGTAGAAACCACTTTTTTCATGCCGTTGCCTACATTTTAAATGGATGTCTGCCAATAGGACTAGATCTCCGTTGTGTTCATTTTCAATCATCTCGTCGTCCATGCTACTATGCTAACGCCACCGCCACCAAGCTGCAATGATTTGCCGCCAATGAATACCGCCGAATCTGTCGATTCATCTTGTAGCGGTGCGTCAAATGCAACGTAGATTCCCATCCAATTAGATTGAATTTGGTATTGATGACGTGAAAAATAATAACGGTAACTCCATTGAAATGATTCAAAACTAAAGTAACAAGACAATTTTTTTAAATGTAAGGAGTAGAAAGTACAGATATTTGTGTAAAAATGTAAGGAGTAGAAGTAAAAAGTCGCCATAAAAATAAGTAGTAAAGTAAAGTAAAAATATCAGAAAAATCTACTTGAGTACAGTAACGAAGTATTTGTACTTCGTTACTTCCCATATCTGCTAAAAGTATGCACTACTCCAGCACAATGCAGGACCATGCATACATGTAGGCAGCAGCACAAGAAACGGTTTCAAGATCCCCAAGAAACTGAAAATGGTCAATAAAGCCAAGCTTTCACAACATCATAAAACAAAAGAAAGACAAAAAGCCAAATTCAAAAGATTACAACAGAAAGCAGCATTTAAACAAGAGAGCAACATGACTCAGGAGGATAACATCAAGGTTGAAGACAAGTGGGTAAAAAACCTATCTAGCAGACCACTGACAAAACCAGAGATGGATGTACTGAGTAAAGGCCTGAATTTTGCCATTGCTCCACAAGAAGTACCCATTGTGGAACTGATCACGGCCACTGAATCGGCCATCAGGAACAACAACCTGGCTGAAACGGAGGCAGAGCAACTCAGAATGAAGGTAACAGCCACCCTGTCCAGCGCCAAACCACCTCCTTCCAACCTCACACCCCAGGAAATGAAAGCCATAACATCCCTGAGCCAGGACCAAAGCATCACCATATTACCAGCAGACAAAGGAAGATGCACCGTAGTCCTCAACACCTCAGACTACCAAGACAAAATCATCACTCTACTGAAGGACACTAATACGTATGAATCCTTGAAAAGAGATCCAACCAGCGGCTACAAAAAGAAAATAATAGACTATCTCAAACAACTTGAAAAAGACAAGGTAATTAACAGCACAGCCTATTTCAGATTATATCCAGGGGAGGAAATTCCAGGCTTATATGGACTTCCAAAAATTCACAAAGAAGGGGCACCACTCAGGCCCATCGTCAGCAGCATTAACTCAGTAACATACAACATTGCTAAACAGCTTACTAATATCTTAGCTCCCTTGGTGGGGAACACACCACATCACATAGAAAACTCCAAAGACTTTGCCAACAAAGCCAAACATTTAAGGATGGCTCCAGGAGAAACCTTGGTATCGTTTGATGTTACTTCACTTTTCACATGCATACCTATAACAGAGGCAGTGGAAACAGTCAGGACACGTCTTGAACAAGATAGTGATTTAAACAACAGGACTAATTTCACTCCGGACCAGATCTGCACACTACTGGGCCTTTGTCTTTCCACAACCTATTTCAAATTCAGAGGTAATTTTTACAGACAGAAGCATGGCTGCGCAATGGGATCTCCAGTATCACCAATTGTAGCCAATCTTTACATGGAAGAAATGGAAAAGAGAGCTTTAGACACTTTCAATGGAATACCACCAAGCCACTGGTTTAGATACGTGGATGACACTTTCGTCAAAATCCAACTAGAGGAAGTGGAAGCTTTCACCAAACACATCAACTCTGTTGACCGTAACATCAAATTCACCAGAGAGGATGCCAAGGACAACAAACTACCCTTTCTGGACTGCCTGGTGAGCATGGAAGGAGATGGAAACCTAAACATTGAAGTGTATAGGAAACCTACTCACACAGACCAGTATCTTCTTTTTGACTCACACCACCCACTGGAACACAAACTCTCAGTCATCAGAACCTTACAACACCGGGCAGAACATGTCCCTACTAAAACAGATGGGAAACAAAAAGAACAGAAACACATCAAAGATGCTCTCCGAAACTGTGGATATCCAAACTGGGCTTTTATCAAATCAGCAAGGAAATCCAAAAGACACGCAACAGAAGACAGCGATGGGAAAATTAAACGCAAAAACATCACAATCCCTTATGTTGCTGGAGTGTCTGAAAAGCTCAAGAGCATTTTCTCCAAACACAAGATCCCAGTACATTTCAAGCCAAACCAAACCCTTAAACAGAGGCTAGTGCACCCTAAAGATAAAACCCCCAGACCGAATATGAGCGGAGTAGTATATGCTGTTCAGTGCAGCGAGGAATGCTCTGATCTTTATATTGGCGAAACAAAACAACCTCTCCACAGACGCATGGCCCAACACAGAAGAGCGGCCGCCTCTGGACAAGACTCCGCAGTACACCTACACCTTATGGACAAAGGACATTCTTTTGAGGACCAGAATGTCCATATTCTGGATAAAGAAAATAGGTGGTTTGAGAGGGGCGTGAAGGAAGCCATCTATGTTAAGAGAGAAAAACCAACTTTAAACAGAGGTGGTGGACTCAGATTCCAGCTTCCAAAAACATACAATTCAATCATAGACATGATCCCTTCCAGATATCACCAAACCCCCCACCCCATCACAGAGGAACGAGGGACCTCCCCGCCCCAGCCGGTGAACAATACCTCCTTAACGACCAACCCTTAACAATCATAGACAGGTTTCAGGTATTACAGGAGACAATCCCCCCCTTAATGGCAATCCCCCCTTTAACGACCGACCCCTAGAATCATAGACAGGTTCAGATATTACAGGCTAACGATGGAACTAACAACCCATTCATCGGTTACCATTGCATGTTTCCAAGCGATACAAGGCGTTGTCTATATAAGACTCAAACTCACTGCGGATCCAGACATTTGAATTGAGAAAGCTTCCTGGAGAGGTGGCGAAACGTCTTCAAATCTTGAAAACCAAGTCCAGTGGATTTTTTGAATTTTTACGGAATGAAAATGAGAACTTAAATGACAACAAAACCGTAAACATCAGGCAATCATTCTCTAACAGGAAAGAGCCGGTGAAGGAGAAAGATTTTACAAGGGGTGTTGAAAATACCATTTCTCTTCTTGACAATTAAATGAACTGTACTGCATTAATTAGCATAAAGCTAACTTGTTAAAATTCGCTTTAATTAGACAGTTTTGCTAAATACCATAAAAAGCATAACAATAGGATCACAAAAACATATACCGATGTTGTTGATACAGAATTATAGGTTAACATGGATTTATTGGCTTTCAAAGCCGGGGTTAACGCTGGCTTTTTGTCACAGTAAATGTCTGCTTGTAGAGACTTTGTAGAGAGTTTCTGAGACTTTTTAACACACAGCAGCTACCACTGCTCCAAAACATGTACGAGTACAAGGCAATGATGTGCTAGGTTATATTGTTTGCTTTAGTGAAAAATAAACACTAAAAATTTGACTGGTAGATGGTAGTAATATTACACAATATTGTTTGAGGCAAAAACCCCCTTCTCTTTCAGATCTTTTTTTCCACTTCATAATCTTTATCAAACTAATTACATGTATTCTAAATCTGACTTATATGTTTTATTTAGATATGTGTCGTGTCTTGATGGGAGCTTTGTTTTGAACTGTAACAAATAAGAAAAATAACTCTTGATTAGGCTGAGATGATGATTTCTGACTATTATAATTTAAAATATATTCATTTACAGTGTTTTTTTTTATGTCCAATGGTGTTTGGATAAAAGAGATATCAATTTATATTGATATATTGTTATAAATAACAAAAAACAGTTATTTAGTGTTCGATTAAGAGAATATATATTTGTACTGGCAGTCTAATAGAATGAGACATTGCTTAGTGGCTATCAAAGACATTCAAATTTTATTGATTTTTCTTGCATCTCACTTTTTCTAATTATATCCATCTGTTTATGCATCTAATATTTAGTTAATTTATTTGTAAACTGAACAGAAGCAAAAAACAAAACCATGTTGGCAGAAACACTTTCTGGGTGATATACAGCATGTGTGAAATGTGTTCTCTGAGGTGCCAGAGGGCTGAATATAAAGTAATAAATTAATGTATTTATTCTTGCGTGGTATCCTTTGGTATGTCTTTAAGGGAGTTTAGCACAACTATAAACTCAAGTAAAGTACATGTCATGGAAAAAAAATTACCTTATTAATATACATGCTGCATTGGATTTGTAAATTTAGCCCAGTATCATCCTTTTAGCAATGCTAACTGTATTTACAGTTATTGGAAAAAGATTAGACCAACCTTCTTTTCTCCAGTTTCTTGTTCTAAAATTTTATAAGAATGTTACAGAAGAATTGTATTTTTTTAACTTTCTTTTTTCACTTGAACTTTCATTTAAAAAATGCCAGTGATTAAGGTTGGGAATGAAATGATTTGTCTTTTGGTAATGTTAATATCTGTTTTTTTTTTTTATCTGCACTTTGAGCTCACATGTTTTAAAGCTTCTGACAGCTTCATTCTCTACACTATGAAAGAAAATAATATGAGACTTAAAAAAAAAAAAATTCAGATCCTGCGATTACAGCCACCAAGACAATGTGGACAGTTTCTCTTTCAGCTGGAGGCCTGTACTTATACAACACCTACTGTAAAGGCTTACTGGATGACGAGCCGAGGACATAATAACAGCTTCATCTGCAACACGACCTGATTCCCACGAAAAAACCCCACAAAACATTCTTGGATTTTGGTTAAAAACAGGTTACAGTCCACCATGGGTGTTATTGTATAAAAAAGATTCTTCATTTCCTGTCCGAAGCTTGGTTTTACAGGATGTGAAGCTTTACAGTAGACCAACAGATGGAACAGGATCTCTTATCAGAATGATGGAAGGGACAACTTAATGCTGGGGTTGAGAACAGGATTATTGGTACAGCAAAACAATCTTTAAAGAGATGATCCCTTACCTGCTGAGGTAGATTCTCTTCTCGGTCACTTGTCCGGGACCATGCTGAGGGTGAGTATCCGGCTCATTCCTCACCACCTCTACTCCCTCACCTCCACCACTCTGCTCACAGCTGTGCTTGCTGATCATATAGAGCTGCCCAATCATGTACTGGAACCCAGGAAAACATCAGGATGATGTTTGTGGTGGATAAATTAAGAGAGAAAGAGAGAAAGAATAAAACACAGTTATCTTAACTTTTCTGGACAGGTTTTTAAAAGTACCATTTTGCTTAAATCTATATGTTCCTTCCTGCAGAAAGCACGGATCCATGTCTCCTGTTTAGCTGTGTCTCTTTGCCAAATAGAGCCAATAAAAGAGCTTCTGCTTCCATTTACTGTGCAATATATATATATATATATATATATATATATATATATATATATATAATTTTATTTCATTTTTTTTTTACAATACTGTAGATTTCAGTTCTGTGTTGGGCAGTGACTCTTTCCGAGATGGAGACTGTGATGGAGCTTTTGCTTCCATTAACTGTACCGCTTTTCTTTCCGTATAGCGATAACCCCCTGCTCAGTGCTTCTGTTTAGCAGTGTCTTTTTAATGGCTGCAGTTAATGGCAAATCTTTTGCAATAATGTGAAATGTTTGTTCATCTAATATATAGAAATTAGCCTACTCCTTACACAATTACTATACTCTGTGTCTATCCAGGAGGGAGCTAATGCTGCGTTCATCCTTATGTACTTCTTGTTTGTTCCCCATACTACCGTATCGGTGCTTCAGGGCTTTTCTCTGTCTATTTACTGCCTCAACCTCCATCTGGTCAACAGTTAACTGTTCATATTTATGTTTCTGATGCAAATTTCGTTTCCGGGAGACAGAGCGATTTCTGTCCAATCCCACCTCACGTTGGCTCAGAAAAAAAGAAATACTGCTAAATCAACAACTCAAGACAATCAAAGTTAGGCTTTTCATCAATTTGCATTTCATTATAACCAGCCTGTATTATATCATAATTTGTCCTGAATTTACTGTATGGGACAGGGTCTATTTTTGATTTTATTAATGGTTGCGAAATGACACATAATGAATAAAATGACTTTTAATCACTTTAGATATGTGATCAACATGCATCTATCTACCTTTTATAAGTCCTACACTGTAAGAAAAGCTTGTTAATCTCAACGAATTAGTTTTTTTTATAACTATTCCCTCCTAGATTGCTTACTACTTGCTTTCTCATGATAAACAGTTGTAGCTGATTTTTCATTGTAGACCCGAATGAATGACATTTATTAGTATTTTAAGAAAAATCTTTCTTTGCTTCACAGGGTTAGTTTAAGATTGAGATGTTTTTTTCTTAATCAAACAAAATGTCCTTTTGAGAAGACTAAGTGTATATTCACTTACAGAGCTTGAGTTATGTGACAGATGGCACCCTCATAATAGCATTTTGACACCTTTGTCACTGTCATACAGTTAAACCCTTTACAATAAAACATAGACTGTTTGTCTGTGGAGAAGTGATACTTTTAACTTCGTGAATTCACAGCTTCGTATATATCTGACCTGCAAGACAGAGTCATAGCATAGATGCTATTTAGTTTATTTATATAGCACTAACTCATACCAAGGCGCCTACAATAAAAAAAGAAAATCAAAGAACAGATTAAACGTAATCAGACAGATATTGCAATAATTCCCTGACCTGCAGGTTTGCCTATATTCTGAGAAACAAGTGAACAGTTGACTGCATTGAAATAACTTTACAACAATTCCTTACCAGAGCATGCACCTGGCAATGAACAGGAACAAAAAAGAACCTTAAGCAGAAATGGGATCAGTGTGAGCATCTTTGTAATGCAGCCAATTAAGGGGGCACCCAAAAATTCGATCTTGGAATAGGCATATCTCCATTGGTATGAAAAGTAGGTAAAGGAAGTACTAGCACTTTACATGAAAATTACAACATTTAACCTGAAAAGTTTACAAATCTTTACAGCAAATGTTATCACAACGAGTCATTTATTGTAGTTATAAGCTTTTTGGCCCGCAGTAGGGTTGGTAGGTGTTGGCTAGATTTCAGGGTTCACCTTTCAGCTTTCCTGAGTTCCTCTCTATAAGAATCTCTAAAGAAACTCATATAAAAGCTTGAGATGTCAAAACATTTTTCTTGAGTAGCAATTGATTTTTCAGCATGCCTTTGCACACCTCTGCAACTTTCAATGGTGCAATGTTTTACCGGCTAACCTTGGATGCTGGCATTATCGTTGATCTTCTATTGACATCCACCATCTAAATACTATTTCTGACAAAGTGAAATCTTCACCCTCGATAATAACAGCACCCACTGCCTGTCATCAGCAGCCACTCCCTGCTAAACAATCTGCCCTCCAACACCACAATTGAAAGTTGATTAGACGTAAGAGAAACCAAAATTTACTTCAGTGCCACAAAACCAAAAACATTAGTTTTTGCAACTCTCAAGACTCATACATGTCTTATCATGGAAGGTAGGCTGCAGCTGCTTTTTCAGCAAGGAAATAACTGACAGTACTTCTTCACTGCTGCTACTACCACGAATGTTCACCAGCAGATTGTTAAAGCAGCAGCTACTACAAGAAGACCTTTTAGGGTTATGTTGGCCAGTTTTTACATTTTCTTTTTTTCTAATATTTTAACTCAATAGATGTTCTGGTCACTGTGACCATTTTTCTCAAAACAATTTTTATGAAATATATAAGGAGAGGCAACTTATTTACATATTGCAGTGCACAGTTGGAAGTCCCTTAAGGTTAATTTGTGATTTCAGTTTAACCATGATAAAATGGATTGGAAATTAAACCAAGGCTGAAATATGTGCAAAAAAATCCCACAGGATAAAAAATGGTTTTCATAAAATAGACCTTAAAATGATTTTTAAATCAAATCAGTAAAGTTATTTTTTTCCTTGTATGAATCAGTTAGTATGTGGATGAAGAAGGAAAGAAAAACAGACCACAGTCACAGTTGCTATGGTGGGCTTTGTTTTGACAGACACTTGATCACAGCTTCCTGGGCGCAAGCTCTTTTTTTCTTTCCTTCTTTTTTTAACAGCTCATTGGTGTGTATAAATATTGCCCTGAAGTGTCCATTTCAGAATTTTTAAAATCTAATTTGACCAGGGAGGGTGAATGTGTACAGTCCTAATGAGGAGGATGGGACTTTGTTCTTTGCTGCAGCACCAGTTTGTGCCCATTGCTGATGAGGCACTGTGCATAGCGTATTTTCTTTTACAGCTCCTTTGGGCATGTGAAGTGATCTTCGCTGTGTTTGGCGCAACAAAATCACTTGTATATTTTCAGAAATATGCAGTCCATTTTTTGTCACATCTTTTAGCCAAAACTACACTGTTTTGTGTTTACTTCAAATGATAACCAGTTGCTGGTTTATTTCTGTAATTTATTGCAAATTATTGTTAAATTAGTCCCTGAAATCTAATAGACTTTTATGCCACTATAGTGGAAACCCTAGAGCAGTTTATTAAACGTAATCTGCTCCAATGTTGCCTTTGTCTTGCTATTCATTTTGGTGCCCTATATTTGTGTGGCACAAAAGCAGAGTTTTAATTAAAAGCAAGTAACACAAAAACGGATAGGAGCAAAGATAGAAGGAAGGAGGAGGGCAGAGAACTTACATACCATCCTTCACTGCTGACATCATGTGACACTCCCTCTTGTTCCAATTACAGTAGAATGTCAGCATTCAATATTTACTCATTGGGTATTCATTGGACTTAATTAATCATAGCAATGTGGGTTTTTCCTCTCGTAACACTGAGCTCCTCCCATACATGTTGTGTAGATGTTTTACCTTATATTTTCAGGATGATGTTGAAAATACATTACTCTTAAATCATTACTGTGGACTAAATTGCTGGCAAGGGCCATGAAAAAAAATATATTTTTACATAATTCCTACAACTGTATTTTTTATTTTATTTTTTTTCAGAAAACCTGTTATAAATCTATACAACTGCCATGAATTCTACATAGTTGTAAAAATAGCTTGTCGGTGTTGGAAGTAAATAGAAGAAAATATACTTCAGTTTCCTCATAATTAAAACATCTCTCAATCGGTCTCCGCCAAGTGACGTCAATTGTTTACCTCGGGCGCGGTACACTACGCCTTTTCCACCTAAAATGGCATCTTAGCAACAAATGTCACGTGACTGGCGGAGACCGATTTTCCTAAATCCGCCCCTGTTTTCAGGCTTATGTTAACTGTAATGACTTATCTTGGACAGGCTGCTATGTAAACGGGCCTTTAGTCCTTCGTTTAGCTATGCTGCGGTTGTTTACACTACGCCTTTTCCACCTAAAATGGCGTCTTAGCAACAAATGTCACGTGACTGGCTGAGACCAATAATATATTTACTTTGCTTCAACTTCCAGGCCTGATTAGGCTAAAGAATTTCAACTTTACTGTATTACAAATGGATTTCCAGTAATAGTAGCAATTCCTTATTGATAATACATATATTGATATGTATGCCTACTATATTACGTAAAATAAAGCTTACTATGTTCCAATAATACTATTTCAATATAGATCATTAAGATAGATCAAGGTAAAAACACAAATTGTTAGTGCTATTCATCATATCTTTAAAAAATAAGTCTGAAGGACTTCGGAGGGTTAGTCATTTCATAACCTGCTGTAAAAGTCTGTCCCACCTTGCAGTTTTTTCACCTATAAAAAAGGTTATCTATGGTTCTAGACAAGATGAAATAAAAATAAATAAATAATTAGCTATCCAGTCCTGGGATATTTTTGAGATGTGTACAGTATGCCCATATGATGCTTTTTGGTTTAAAATAGTGTAACAGTTGTTATATAAACACCTTTTTTATTTTACCATTATGGGTTTCATATCTATGGATTGAATGATCTTCTGGGAATAGAATATTAATGCTTTATGAGTTCCTGTCAAGAGATCAGGCAATTATTTGAAAATGTAATCAAAAGGTAGGTCATACTGTCAGTTTCCCTTTCAGTCTCAAGCATTAAACATGCCAGGTGAGTGAATCCTCATCATCACAGGCCACATAGTATGGGGTGAGATATGTAAAGTCATAATCTGAGTCACAGTTGCAATGATTTGTTATAGTGTAATGAACAGTGCAGTGCTTTTTGACAGATCTTTAAAAAAAATATCACAACAGTAGAATGCACTCTATTGGCACCTCATTTAGAATTAGAATTAATGGCTTTGAAGATTAACAGCTCTGTAAAATAACAAACTATTTGTGTCCAAATTCAGAAGGCTGCATCCTTTAAAAGACCCGTCCCACTTAGATCAGGTTTTCAAACAGTTTAAAAGAAAAAACCTAGATTAAACTAAATAATTATTTATAAGAGTGCATGAGGGCTCTTAGCTTTATTTATTAATATAAAAAAAAAGATCAAACATGACCTACCTTCAACATTCTTTTTTTAAAATATATATTTAAAGAGCAACAAATCTTTTAGAAACTATATTAGCTTAGGGCTAATATCTAAAAAATCGTATTTGTGTATTTCCATTGCTAATTGAAAAAAGTCATTTATCAAAGTAAAAATCACCCAAAAGTCATCTTTTTTTCCACATAAACTAAAAATGGATGTCTTGAGGTGCTGTGTAAATGTCCTGGCCATTGTTTTGATAATTTGCTTCACATTTGTTGTTGCAATCCTTCTTTTATGTCTAAAACTGCCTTTTTGGCACCCTCTTTATATCTAATACGGGCACAGCATCTGATTTCAAATCATCATTGGCGTTGGCTTTAAAGGTCAAAATGTGAGATAAATGATTTGAGTAGCTCCGCCACTGTGGAGTAGAAAAGCAGCTCTGTTCCATATGCCTCTGTAGCAAGTTTGAATAGTGAGCTTTGCATGCTTTCTATGGATTTTCAGATGATGTATTTATTATATTAGGATTTAATTAGTTTATTTAGTATTTATTTACCTTACCAGACTACGCCCAGCCCTCACCTCCCCTACTTTACCTGATCTGCCTATGCTAGGCATATTTTTTTATATATTAGATTTTTTTTTTTTCTTTGTGAATCTCTAGCATAGTTGCAGGCATATGTTAAAGATGAGCATGTTATTTTACTCCTGACATACTCTCCATCTCTCAAATAGGGAAATGAAGTCAAATAAGATCTATTTCAAGGCTTAACATTATTTTCAGCCAAGTCAATTTGCTCAATAATGAAGAAGACTGCTATGCTAATTAGTGTAATCTCCCTGTATTGTATCTGGGTTCAACTTTTGCTCAGTGAGTCAGTTGTAGATTAAAAATTTGGAATTGTGCATCCTCTCAGGGAGACAAGGAGGGGAAGACCACTAAATCAGTTGACAAGCTTGCTTAATGTGCAAGCTTGCAGCAACACTTCCGTTTTGGATAACAGAAATGGACACAAAATTATTTCGATCACAATTTTGCAATCTTTGTCCAAAATTGCTGCGACTTGACCAATCTGTTTTAAAAACAATGGCCTATGGGTTACAGTGGGCCACGTAGAATACACTTGAGCTGTCCAACAAATCTGCGAAAAAGAAGGCTGCATTGAATGTCCCCTAAAATTTGGACAGCGTTTGATTAACAAAGCACAGATTACAAATGCTCTCTTGAAAGGAGGCAGCCCCTAAATCTGGACACGTCCTATGACGCAACAGCCAGAAGTCTTACAACATCTTTCGATTCATGATGCATTGAAATAATGAAAAAAATGAATATTTTCCTGTCCTTTTTTATATTTTGTGAGCTAGCAAATGATTTCATTAAATGAAAATAAAATTTTACTTTCCAGTAACCTCAGGAAAAATATTTCCCTGATAGTATAAACAAAAGGCCTGAAAATAAAACTTATTGTGAAAGTGGAGTCTTGAGAAAGCACCACAGCAAAGCTACTTACTTAGAAGACATTTGAAGAGTAATGATTTAGTTACACAAGCTATTTCCTTAGTGGCAGTTGCTGTGTTATTTTTTATTTTTTATAATTAATTTATAGACTTTCTGAAATAAAGCAGCCCCGAAAGCAGTTGATTGTATGATTCCTTATTTGTGTTGCTGAAGGTTACTTTAATATTAGCTCACAAAATTACACTATCCAGCAGTGATAGTTAGTCATGCTGCTCACCTTAACTAGATGGTAAAACTGAAAGTTATTAAGGCAGTAGCACTCCACTATTTTCTTATTCCTTTTATGCTCAAAGTGGAGAGAATTGTTAACTTTTACTAATCCCCCGAAAACTCTTTAAAATTTTCATAATTATAAGCTGAAAAACAAATATTTAGCTACATTGCTTAACATAATAGGGAGAGTGTTTTGTTTGAGGTGGATTGAAATTTTATTTAAGAATGTTACAATTTTAAAGGGTTTCTATATTGGGATGTAAAGCAAAAGGTTCGGAACGCTGCTTCCAATAAAGCTGCTTGGAAAAATATTTTGGTGTGGCAATTGTATTGTTTTAGCAAAGCTAGTATTGACTTCTGAAAGCAAAAAGATTCTCAACATTGATCTAAAATGATTGAGGGTGAGCTCTCTAACACTCAACCACTACTATAATAGGTGCAAATGTTCAGGAGCTTATTAACATAAGTAGCAAATACTGTAGGTTAATCACAAAGTCTAAACTCTGTGAATTTGGGAGTTTAGAAATATTTAAAATGACTTATTCTGATGGCTACATCCTGGAATCTAATTTTTATCAAGGTGAGCACCTTTAAGATGCATTGGAATGACAGATTGTTATCATGGATGGGAAACTGACAGATGCAATCTACAGGGTAACATTTTCATTCCAAGGTATTATTTTGGATGAAGGGTTCTGTATGATATTGCAACCCTTATCCTAACTCTGTAATGCATATGGATCAGGGTTTTTCTCAACCAAATGAGAAGAAAAGATTAAACCATAAACCTCCCTGACTCGCTTCACTACCTGAGCTACTGTCAACTGTAAGCTTTTTCACAAGAAGGACGCAGCTCTCAGCATTCCTTGGTATGGTAGTGCTGTATGGTGTTACATATGTGGTAGCAGATATCAAGATTACCATAATCCACCTTTTTTAGTGTGGCGTGTTGGTATAAACGTTGTGAATTGCATGAAATAGGTAGCAGTTTTTATTTAATACATCCTCAGGCAAAGCTGCATTTAAACTTGCATTATGTTCAGAAAAGAGGATTTGCAGCAAGCTCAAGTTTACTGTATGTGTGTCCTACACTGATACCTTAAATCCCATTTCGGACTCTTATTTGTCACTGTCATTGTTGTGGTAACAGATAGAGGTGAGGAATGGGGGAAGGTTGGGGGAGTGGAGGTGTGTACATGAGAGGATGAGGACAATCCCTTTGAAGGACACTTGAGGGAATAACTCTAACTCTTTTCCCGTAACAGAATCTTTGTGTGTATAAAGCTGCAAGACAAATAACTTTGTCTGCCAGTTGTAACCAGTCTGACTAGTTTCTATATTTGCTCTTATAGCTACACAAGTCCCTCATTTGCAAAGTATGCACACAGAGGGAGGGAGAATACTAAACGACTGCAGCAAGCCTGACCATGAGGATGCTGCTCAGGTGCCATGAGGTGACCTGTCAACCAACAGCACTTCAAACCCAACCATCTGACGTCATTGTGCATTAGAATGTAAAAGACTTTATATAATGAATGTTTATTATAGATTATCATGTTTCAAAAAGACTGTCCCTTTTCATCCAACAGTTGAAGATAGTGTTTCTGGTTGTAGGTGTGTGTGTGTCCATGAGGGTGGGAAAAAAAACAAACACACTTACCTCCTCCACCGTCAGTGGCATACATATGCGATACTCTTTCATCAACATGTTGCTGCTACAGGAAGGGATGTCTTTTGGAAGTGAACAGAGAAACTGTGCTTTGGTTTGTTTATCTCTGTTGTCTCTCTTGCATAGTAGACCTGCTCAGGCACGCTGCACATGGACCACAGTGACCTCTTTAAAGCTTCTCTCCACCCCCAACCCTCCTGTTTTGTTGTTGTCAGGAGACCTTGAAGTTGAGTCCAGCTCTTTGTCAATGAATGTCGACTGTTTTCTTACTTTTCCCAGCTCCTCAGAGGCTCGTCTCTGCTTTTAGTTTCTTTTCCTCAATTAATCTTGACTTGACTTCTTAAATGCTGCTCTTACTCTCTCCTTGGCAGCTTCTTGTCTCTCTCTTCTCTCCTATCTGATTGCTGTTTACTCTCTGCATTTCTGTTGCTGCAGTGAGAGCAAAGTGGTAATTACCTTAGGTAAAGAAAAAGACCTGCAACTAACCAACCTTTCCCCCTCTGTTTCTGTCTGCGCTTTGTTTAATTCCTCTGTATATGTAACCTTCCTGTCTCTGCAGTGCTCCTCCTCCCTAAACTGGTCACCACTGCTTTCAGTTCCTCTCACAAATTCCTTTGCCGTTTTCCTTCTTAGCTGTTTTTTCCTCTCCCTCTATGACGATCCACTCCCCGCCCACTGTACTATTTCACCTGTGTTACCTCCCTCCCTCCTTTCCTCCCTCCCTCTTTGATCTTTATCTCTTCTTTAGTTTCTGTCACTCAGATGCTTGTCAACAATAAAATGTGCCTGTAACTGACAATGTAAAGTCACGCAATTCATATATCTACTGTTGGACTTACTTGTTGGTATGCATTTTTTCAGCGTACAAATGCATGGACTGTTATTTAGATCATATAAACACTGACAGGCATTATGTCAAAGTACTGTTCTGTACTGTACTTTTCAAAAGAGAAGTGGAGTAGATAAAACTGAGAACTTCCGGTAAAGTTAACCACAGATCATTTTCAATTGCTACTTGCAGTTGAATCAGATATTTATAGGTACTGTATAAAATGATGTATTCATTTTTATCCTGCCTGACATAAATCTGAACTTTTTTGGTTTAGCTAACTTATAATAACCATAATCTTGTCTAAATGCCAAAATACCTTTTTCAACTTTTTTCAAATTCAAAACTTTACAGAAGTTTGCTGTCTCATGAATTGTTGGTCTTATTCTAGGTCAAACAGTGAGTATCCTTTCTTAGGCTTCTCAAAAATGTTTGCTAAATTTTAGCACAATAATAGCCACTTCATATATTAGTTATGTTGTCACAAATTTTACAATATGCATAGGATAAAACCCCTGTCACACCTTGACGATTTAGACCAGCATATGGCTGACGTACGAAAAATCTGTTAGAAACGCTAGCATACGTAGGATAAGTTATGGGTATGTTTTGTATAAGTTTTGAGCACACTGAAGTATACTGAAGCACACTGAAACAAGTCGGCATACGGCAAGTATGTCGAGAAATTTTGAGCATGCTCAAAATTCCCCAACATACACGAGCGTATGCCATAAATGGGGCATAAGTTACAGGTAAGTTATTTGATTGTGGACATACGTTAGATGTAAGTTACTCATAAGTCGTGTGGTCAAGCTTATTCAAAACCTATGAGTAACTTGTGCGAAACTTATTAAGAACTTATCTCCAAAGCATATCAATGTATCTGACGGGTTCCAGACAAACAGCTGAATGAGTTTCTAACTTACAGCTACCGTATAATGGCGTATTGACAGGATTTTGGCAGTTTTGGAGTTCACAGGAGGAAACCATCTGTTCTCCTCTAGACTTCATCTGCATCATAGGGTGAGCGTGAAGATGAGTGTGATTAATCATCCCTGCGTTCACGGCAATAACCAAAAAAACTTCCTAGCAGATATGACGCTGAATCTGCTGCAGGCTGGGCGCCTCTGGGCGCATCGCTGCCCCCCTCAGGACACTGGCTTGTGAGATTTCATGGGCATTACACATTGCCGTGCTTTATGCATAAGTTAGGCTATCGTTTGACATACGCTCTGGAATAGCTAGCTATACGCCCAAAATTGAAAAAAATACATAGACAGTTCATACGCTGGCTAAATCGACAAGCTGTGACAGGGCCCTCAGGAAGCATAAAGCTGATAATGAGATTGAAATATGGCAAAACTTTACCTCACTAAAATAAGAAAACAATGTGGTTACAACAAGAATGCTTTCAAGTAAAAACAAGTCAAACATTTTGAAATAAAAGTGCCAAAAAAAACTGTAAGGAATTGTGTAATGATTGTAGTTTGCCTCAAAGCTGTCATGATGGGCTCTCAAGGGGGACCCAATTATGCAGAACACCACTGAGGCGGAAACAGGAGTAAAGGTTTTAACAGAGTTTATTTAGACAAGCACTGAGATTATGACAGGTTCGGGTTCAGGCCTGGGAAACCGGTTCACTGGAGTCTGCGTGGGAGACAGTTCAGTTAGCTTAGCACGTTGGAGCTTGATCTCTTGATGATAACTGATTGTACCTTGAGGGTTCTTGAGGTTAGCTTTGGGAGAGTCACTGTTGGATATGGAGAGGAGTTGCTCAGCAGAGTCCGCTTGCTGCTTCAGCGTCTCACGTCTAGAAATGAACAGACCTTGGCTTTGGGTTTTCCAGCTCTTAGTCCTGAGCTGCATGGAAGTTCTCTATGGTTCTTCAGGTTTGGCTCTGAGGGTCGGCTCGGCAGGTTAGCTCTTCCAGAGCTTCACAGAGGAGACACAGGTTTCCTGGAAGATAGAGACAACGGTTAGAATCCTGGCTGGATTCAAAGTCACAAAGATACACTTAGAGTCTAGGCTTAGGCACTGACCAACTGGATCAACACTGCGACATTGAGGCAAGGTCTGAAGACAGCTTATATAGTGGATTCTCTGATGATGGTAATGAGCAGCAGCTGTGCAGGAGGCTCTGCTCAGGAGGATCCACGGCGGACTCTGCTGGAGAAAGATGGTACTACTCCAGCTCCCAACAAAAGCACCTTAAAGCTTTTTCTCTAATCCAATAAGAAAGGAAATCCGAGCAGAAAACAAGATAAAAGAAGCTGCTCCCCGTTATTCACCAATGTCCCAAGTCTACAGCTCTGTACTGTTAGAACCAGCCTATTGGGAATCCAAAGGTACAAGTACATCTGAGGAGGTTCATGTTTTGACCAAATAGTTTCCTTGGTTCTAACGAGCTAATATTTTCTTACACCAAAAAGAGTTCATAATAATTGTATATAATGTGGCTGTTCTATGTTCCCTTACATTGTCGATCGAGATGAACAATTTCAGCATAAGCATTAACCTCACTGCATGTCTTGCAGCCTTGCTTCAATAACTTCCAAATAAGCTGTTTTTACTAATGACGCCAAAACACCTTGGCAACAAGATGCTGAAGTTTTGATCACCGTAAAAAGCCTTTAAGGCTTGCTCTTTTTTCCCGCAATAAAACAATGGGCAGTGCATTTGACACCTGTAATCTATATTGTTTTAAATTGCTACTTCATCTCTGACTATCATTTTAGTAAAATTTTATTTCACACATAAAGTCACTCTTTTACAAGGTTAAGCCAGCATCATTAAAATGTATTTTGCTTTTTCACCCATGCACTTCAGGACATTCTTGTTTGGTCTATTCAGGCCAGGATCAAAGTTGCACCTTACAGCATTTAAACTCTGTAGCTACTGATGAATTAATTAGAAACTCACTGAGCACTTACATAATTAATTGAGCTTTTTAAAATGTTATTATCTAACTATCACTTTGTGGGTCCTTTCATTGGCTCCTTTATCCAACTATCATCATACAATTTGCAGTTTAGTGTTTCTGCAAGATCTCCCTACTGATTCAAATAAGATTCAAATCAACATCCCCAAAAACAAAGATGTGGATTATCTCAACACACCAGAGGGGCCATACTTACCATCTTACTTTTAAGAAAAGTAATGGAAAATTTATTGGAAATTCTTAAGCATTATTCTGGCATTTAGTAAACATAAACTATTGTGGGCTAGTTAATCATTATTAATGACTGGAGGATGTCAAGAAAGATTACTTTTAGCATGATCACAAAGAACTAAGAAACAAGTGTGTATTTTCACAACTGGTAAGTACAACATAAAGTAATACGATGGTTATCAGATTGTGAAGGCAAAGATCTGTGGTTGTGATGCACTGATTAAAGAATTGTCAACCTAGCTCTTAGATTCTCAGTAGTTTTAACAAATAAGAAATACAAAGGAAATTAATATTAGATTTGATCTAAAATTAAATCACAGTTAACACTATTTTTTAAAGAATGTTGAGAAACGTCTGCAGTTCATTTAGACTGTAATGCTACAACAATATCGCATGCTGTAGGCGCAGCAAAAAAGCACTTGCTTCTTTATTTTTTTATGCTTGTACACATTAAGGTCCAATGCGCCTCAAGAGCATCTTTCATGCTCTTGAAGTGCACCCAGTAAATTGTTTCTAGATGCATCTGATGCAGCTGCTACACCCATGTTCAATGGCAGAGAGCAGCTTTGCTTTATTTGCTATTATGAGTGGGTAAAAAGTAGTTTTAATATGTCTTTTAAAGAGAGAGTCCACCACTAAACATCATCTATGCAGTCAGTTCATCAGGATTACGATCCTGACTTCGAATGTTATTTCTTTGTCGGACCAGCACAAAACCCCCATACACCTGCGGTGGTCTGTCACTGGAAATCCCCTTCAACAGCAGCCTCTGGCCCGGTCACCTCTTGTGTGTTTTCCGCTGTTTGTGGCGGCTGGAAGAAGATGTTAACGATTTTCATGTACGTAATCCAAACTGCAGACACACGCATAATGAAAGTGAACATATTTTCTCAACAGGTTAAGTTAATTTAGGCATTAATAAACTATTTCAGAGGAGTGATCTCTGTCAGATCTCTTGAAGGAGGCTGTCACATTTTCCTGCTGCTCTGCAACTCCCTGCTCTGTCCCTGCTTTTCTGTCTTTTCTTTCCTGAGCCCTCTCTTCTTATCGCCCAAATTCAAACAATGGATCTGGTCAGCTGGTCTCTCAATGCAAGTGATCAAATTTGATCAACTGGAAGACACGGAAAAGGGGACCCGTCCAGTCTGTCAGGACATACTTCATGGGATACACCATGGACTCCTGGAAGGCTTGGAGGATGGTATGTTTTACATTGATGTCAGTGGAGGATATCAAAGATGTATGGATTTATAATACTCAGATTTGATAATACTCGGATTCCTTCTGTCTGGATTTCGAGGATGCCTGATCTAGTCTAATTACAGAGGATGTCGGCAGCGATTGGGGCATTGATCAGGCTGCCAGCAATGATTGACGCTCTCACAAAGGCTGTGATCGAGCAGGACCATGAGATAAGCAATATGCTGGGTACAACTAAACGTGGGCGCTTGCTTCATGGCGGAAAAGCCCAACAAATTCTGAATATTGGATTTGCCATGTGGAGCCAGCAAGAAAAGGCTCGAAGACTGACTCGAAGACTCAAATTCCTGTCTAGCCTGCTCTTAAAACAATAAGTGTTGTTTTGGATTCAGCCTCCCCCTTATCAAACCTCCTCTGAATG